AAAAATAGAAATCATACCATGTACTTTCTCAGATCACAGTGAGTAGAAATCAACCGTAACAGAAACTCACATCCTCTACACAAAAACGTGGAAATTAAACAACTTCTACTAAATGATTACTTCATAAATGAGAAATCAAGATGAAATAAAAAAATTCTATGAAGAAAAGACAATGGAGAGACAAGTTTAATCAACATCCTCTGGACACAGCTAAAGCAGTTTCGAAAGAGGAACAGTTTATCTCCATAAATGCCTATAACCAAAGTCAAAAGATCGCAATAGACCAATCTAATGAACGACTCAAAGAGCTGGAAAAGAAGAACAGACAAGCCTAACCAGCAGAAGAAGTGAAAATCAACAAAGATCAAATCAACTAAATGAAATTGAAATAAGGAAGCTATTCAGAGATTAACAAAACAAAAAGTGGTTCTTGAAAAATAAACAAATTGACAACCACTGCTAAGCTAACGAAAAGCAGAAAAGAGAGAATCTCTAACTAAGCTCCATCGAGCAAAAAGGAGCTATCACATCTGATCCAAAGAGATACCAAGATATATTTCATGAATATACAAAAATCTTATTCACACAAAATGTGGAAATGGGAGGAAATTGGACAAATTTTAGGAAACAACAGCCTCCCTAGCCTCAATCAAGGAAAGAAATAGATTCCTGAACAGACCAATCTCGAACAGCGATGAATACGAAACAGGCAATTAAATCTCCTAAAAAGAAAAGTCGGTCCAGAATGCTTACACACCCACAATTTTTACCACACTTGAAAGACAGAATAAAGACCTATCTTGCAGAAACTATCCAGGCAATCTAGAAGAACGAACTCCCCGACACCTTTTTATAACGAATATTACTCTGATAACCAGAACCAAGAAGGATGCAACAAAAGAACTAAGACCCAAATCCCTAATGAATATAGATGCAAAAATTTTTCAAAACCCAAAATCCTAGCTAACCGATCAGAATGCTTTATCCAAAAATGAATCATCACGACACAAGTGAGCTCATCCCACGGATGCAGGATGGTTCAACATACGCAAAATCTATAATGGCAATTCACCCATAAACAGAAGCAAAAACAAAGACCAGCATGATCTTTCAATAGATGCATAAAAGCTTTGCAAAATTCAACACCCTTTCATGACCGAACAACTTAATAAAATAGCATGAAGGAACATACTAAAATGATATAAGCCATATATACAAACATAGCCAACATCATACTGATGGAGAAAAATTGAAATCATCCCACTTAGAACTGGAACCAGACAAGGCTGCCCACATCTCCACTTCTTGTTTCAACATAGTGCTGGGAAGTCCTGGCTACAGCAATCAGACAGGAAAGTGGAATTAAAGGTTCCAAAGGGGTGGACAAGAGATTCAACTTTCACTGTTTGCTGATGATATGATATTATATTTAGAAAACCCCAAAGATTCAACCAAGAAACTCCTGGAACTGATAAATGAATTTAGTTAAGTCTCAGGATACAAAATCAATACACAGAAATCAGAGGCATTCGTATACGCCAACGACAATCAAATTGAGAATCAAATTAAAGACTCAATACCCTTCACAATAGCAACAAAGAAATTAAAGTACCTAGGAATATACTTAACCAACGAGGTAAAAGACCTCTAGAGAGAGAACTATGAAACACTGAGGAAGGAAATAGCAGAGGATGTAAACAGATGGAAATCCATTCCATGCTCATGGATCGGCAGACTCAACATCATTAAAATGTCTATACTACCCAAACTGATCTACAGATTCAATGCAATACCAATCAAATCCCATCAGCATTCTTCACAGATATAGAAAAAATAATTTTATGCTTTGTATGGAACCAAAGAAGACCCCGAATATCAAGAGCAATTCTAGGCAACAAAAACAAAATGGGAGGCATTAATATGCCAGATATCAAATTATACTACAAAACTGTAGTAATTAAATCAATTTGGTATTGGCACAACAATAGAAATATTGACCAGTGGAACAGATCTGAGAATCCTGATATAAAACCATCCTCATATAGCCATCTAATCTTTGACAAGCAGACAAAAACATACGCTGGGAAAAGAATCCTTTTCATAAATGGTGCTGGGAAACTGGATAGCCACTTGTAGAAGGCTAAAGCAGGACCCACACCTTTCACCTCTGACAAAAATCAACTCACGCTGGTTAACAGACTTAAACCTAAGGTATGAAACTATTAGAATTCTAGAGGAAAATGTTGGAAACACTCTCCTAAACATCGGCCTAGGCAAAGAGTTTATGAAGAAGTCCCCAAAGGCAATCAAAGCAGCAACAAAAATAAATAAATGGGACATGATGAAACTAAAAAGCTTCTGCACAGCCCAAGAAAGTCATGCAAGTAAACAGACAACCTACAGAATGGGAGAAAATTTTCGCATCCTACGTATCCTATAAAGGGCTGATAACTAGAATATACTTAGAACTCACAAAAATCAGCAAGGAAAATCAAATAACTCTATTAAAAATGGGCAAAGGACTTGAACGAAACTTTTCTAAAGAAGACAGAAGAATGGCCAACAAACATATGAAAAAATGCTCATCATCTCTAATCATCAGGGAAATGCAAATCAAAACTACAATGAGATATCACTTAACTCCAGTGAAGAATGCCTTTATCAAAAGTCTCCAAACAATAAATGCTGGCATGGATGCGGAGAGAGAGGAACACTCCTACACTGCTGGTGGGACTGCAAACTAGTTCAACCTCTGTGGAAAGCAATATGGAGATACCTTAAAGCGATACAAGTGAATCTACCATTTGATCCAGCAATCCCATTGCTGGGCATCTACCCAAAAGATCCAATGACACTCTAAAAAAAGACACTTGCACTCGAATGTTTATAGCAGCACCATTCATAATTGCAAGGCTGTGGAAACAGCCCAAGTGCCCATCAATCCAAGAATGGATTAATAAAATGTGGTATATATATACCATGGAGTACTATTCAGCTCTAAGAAACAATGGTGATATAGCACATCTTATATTTTCCTGGTTAGAGCTGGAACCCATACTACTAAGTGAAGTATCCCAAGAATGGAAAAACAAGCACCACATATACTCACCAGCAAACTGGTATTAACTGAGTAGCACCTAAGTGGACACATAGGTACTACAGTAATAGGGTATTGGGTAGGGGGGAGGGGGGGGTATATAATACATAATGAGTGAGAGTGCACCATCTGGGGGATGGTCATGCTGGAAACTCAGACTTGTGGGGGGAGGGGGGAATGGGCATTTATTGAAACCTTAAAATCTGTACCCCCATAATATGCTGAAATAAAAAAAACATTTTTTAAAAGCCTAAAAGCATAAATCTTCTAGAGGGAAACATAGGAAAAGCCCTTTGTGACCCTGAGTTTAATAAATATTTCTCAGGTACACACAAAAGCTAAATCTATAAAGGACACAGCTAACAAATAGGACTTCATCAAAATTAAGAGTTTCTGCTCTTCAAAAGATACCACTGAAAGAATGAAAAGACTAGCTCCAAAATGGGAGAAAATATTCCCAAACCACATATTTGATAAAGGATTTGTATCCAGAATATATAATGAACTCTCAAAACTCAAAACTAATAAAAACAACCCAAAAAATCTAATGAGATGCAGTAGCAGAGCAGGCCAGGGGCTGCCCAGGGATGAGGGAGGGGCTCCAAAGAGCCAGGAAAAAACCTTTGCGGAGGATGGAGCTGTTCATTGTCTTGCCTGTGGAAATGGTTTCACAGCTGTATCCACATTTCTAAGTACATCAAAGAAGATATATGGTTGGCAAACAAACACATGAAATCCAAATTAAAACTGTAATGAGATATCACTAATTGCCTATTATAGTGATTAAAATTTAAAAGACTGACCACACGCATTGTTGGTTAAGATGTGGAGGAAGCACATCATACCCCACTAGCGGACTGTGAAATGGTGCTGCTGCTTGGAAACAGTGTGCCACGTTCTTATAACGGCCAATATACACCTGCCATATGATCTGGCAATTCCACTCACAGATACACAGCAGGAGGGATGGAGACACATTTTCACACAAAGACAAACACAAGTGTCTGCAGCAGCTTTATTTGTGATGTCCACACCTGGAACGATCCAAGTTTCCACCAATAGGTGGATGCATAAACAATTTATGCTATGTCTACACTGCTCTGCAATAAAAAGAATGAACTACCGACACGTGCAACAACATAAATGAAACTCAAAATAATTAAGCTGAGTGAAAAAAGTCAAACAAAAAATATTATTTACTGTTTGGTTGCATTTGCATTAAATGCTTTAAAGTACACCCTGATCTGCAGTAGCAGAGCAGGCCAGGGGCTGCCCAGGGATGAGGGAGGGGCTCCAAAGAGCCAGGAAAAAACCTTTGCGGAGGATGGAGCTGTTCATTGTCTTGCCTGTGGAAATGGTTTCACAGCTGTATCCACATTTCTAAGTACATCAAAGTATACACCTTAAATATGTGCAATTTATGATATATCAACTTTACCTCAATACAGTTTTTTAAAAAGACTATATAAATATAAACTATATAAATATAAACTATTTTATAGTTTTATATATATAACCATTTTATAGTTTTATATAAATATAGACTATATAAATATAAACTATTTCTCACCTATCAGATCACCAAAATTCTAAAACTTGGACAACATTTGCTGCTGGCAAGCTTGTGGGGAGGCAGAGATTTTTTTCAGAGAAGCCCTTTAAATTTTAGTGCCTCCAGCCAGGGTCTGAGAGCTTCCCAGCCCTGCACACTCATCTGTGCTAATGAATCTTAAAATTTTAATTTTAGCTTTTCCAGCTGCTTCTGACCTTTCTAGACAGCAAAGTGTTAGTCTAACTGCAGTAATAAAATTGCTTTGTAAGAATGCAGATTCTTAAGGGACAAATCAGGATGTGTAAAATAGAAGGAAATTCATTTATTCACCCATTTTCTTTCATGTCACAGCTGTTTATTGACACGCGCTAGGTGTCAGGGACTGTTCCAGGCACCTGGGATACAGCTGTGAACAAGCCCCTCACCCCAGCGCCGGCGCAGACAGTAAACCAGCCAGCGATGGGCTAGATGGTGATGGCCGCTCGGTGAGAAATCGGAAGGCATGGGAGGGAGAGAAGCTGGAGGGGTAGTTATCTCAAAGACGGGGGGCAGGCGGGTCTCCATGGGGCGCTGGAGGGAGACAGTCTGGAAGGTTGACAACAGCTCCTGTAGCGCATGTGGCTTCCTTTCTCGCGGCGCGTGTCTGGGGCGCAGGAGTGACTTCCCGTCTTCCTTCTCAGCCTCTCAGCCTCCCCACAGGGCTTCGAAGCCGGTCTTTCTGTGGCATGCGGGTGTCTTTGCCACTGTGAGCTCGGCGTCCCGGGTGGTGGCTCTCACCAGTGGTGCAACTCTGAGCACATCACTGCATGTCTCTGAGCCTTGTTTTCCTTTTGTATGAAAATAAATGATTAGTCATTCACACATTTGTTCAATAAATATGCATTGAGCAGGTATTATAGTATGTGCCTTGCCCTGTGCCAGGTGCTGGGATGGAGTGAGAAGACAAAGCCGCCGCCCCACTGAGTTCACGTGCGGTGGTGCAATGGACACAGTGTCTGTGTTCCCCCTGTTCATACATGGAAACCTTAATCCCAATGTGATGGTGTTACAGGGTGGGGTTTGGTAGATGATTAGAGCATGAGGGTGAGACCTGCACGGTAAGAAGAGGCCAGAGTGCCAGCTAGCCCCCTCTCCATGAGACGGCACAGTGAGAAGTCAGCAGTCTGCACCTGGAAGACGGCCCTGGCCAGGCCTGACCGCGCCGGTGCCCTGATCTCAGACCTCCAGCCTCCAAATGGTGCGAAGCAAGTATCTGTTGGTTAGCAGTCGCCCGGTCTGTGGGACTTTACTGCAGTAGTCCGAGTGGACTAAGACGGCCGAGAGTCACACTGAGGTGTGTGATTCACCACGGTGAGGAGTTTCAGGCAAGACGTGGAGGGCCATGGGAGCATAAGTAGAGGGCTGAGCTGGTGTGGAGTCAGAGAATGCCTCCCCAAGGAAACGGCGTGCAAGTTAAGACCTAAAGAAGTTAGCTGGGCGGAAAAACAAGGATGGCGTGTGCACGTGCACACACATGTTGCAGGGAGGAGAGGCATCCGGGAGCAGGAACAGATCAGGTGCAAAGGCCCTGAGGCAGAGAATACCCTGGTACTTTTCAGGCCACTGGGGAAAAACCAGTACCAGGGGAGCTGGAGCCAAATGTTTGTCTCACAAGGTCATGAGAAGTAAATTTGATCCCCTGGGAGAGTGAAAATCTCTCCTCTCTTAGGTGCTCAGCACACGTACTTCCTTTCTTCCCTTCTAGGGCTTTGGCCCACGACCGGTGTGCAGGGGCACTTGCACTGCACCTGCCACCTGCAGGAATCTCTCAGGCTTTGTTATTGCCTTTAGTTGATGTGCGCATGCGTGTGTGTGTGTGTGTGTGTGTGTGCGCGCACACACACATACACACCAGCAGCAGCAGAGATTCTTGTGTTCAGTTTGTAGATGTGAAACTCAAGCCCTGGAAGAAGCGACATCAGTAACTCCTTGTTTTGAAGTCAAGTCAACAAGCATTGGCTCATTCCAAGAAAATGCTGGCTACTGGTTAAATCTGTCTTGGATGTACAATGAGAACGTGGCCACACGTAGGAAGCGCCCAGCACCTACACCGAGATGGGCATCTCAGCTTGGTGTAAAGGACCCTCATTTGCCAATGCCCACAGCTTTTATTGGGACCCTTAAAAGAACCAACACACTTAGCCCTCTGGGACCAACAACGCAACCTTATCATCTGACAAGGATGCAGGCTCCTGGGGTAGGCTGCCCAGCTTCTGCACCTGCTTCCATCACCTACAAGCTCATGAGTCTGTACAGTATTTAATTATCATGCCTCAGTTTCCCCATCTATAAAGTGGGGATGATAATAATTGTCCTTCCTTTGTAGAGTTGTTGTGAGGCATAAATGGGTTATTATACGTGAAGCACTGTTAGTTCCTGGCAACACAGAAAGTTGTCAGCTCTGGCTGCTTCTGAGCAAAAGGGCCACAGCATGGTGTTGGGGCAGCGCACCCATAGCCTGGCTCCTGGGAACCAGCAGCCCTCCCAGGGTCTTCCTTGGTGTTCCTGGGCCCACCGCCAGCCTCGGCACTGCCAGTAGCCAATAATTTTCTCTGCCCTCAACGTAGACAATTCGTCCACCCCTCTCCCCTTCCTCCACATTGCTTAAGTGAGGCAGGCAGGGCCTGCCTCATTCAGTAAAATTCCTTATTTTACTGACCTTAGAAAGATGGAAACAGAGGCTCTGAGGATTGCGGTGCTCAGTCCAAGCCAACTCAGCTGTGTCTGGGACAGATTTGCAGGTAAGTTCTCATTTTTCAGACATCCACTTACTTAACCAACATTTCTGTAGCCCCTAACAGGTACTGCGAGAAACACTCTTGGTGACCTGAACTGGAACAGGGTAAGAGCCTGAGCTAACCAAGGTCTCTCCCAGGCACGCCTGTGTCCTGTAGCATCGCCACCCAGACAGGCAGCAGCACCCCACAGACCTGGCTTCCCACCCGAATGACACAGTAGAGGTCAGAGTGAGATTCCCAGCTACTGGCTTTCAAGACAATCCCTTGAAATCCATAGAGGACACAATTTTGAAGCCCAGGGCTTTAACTAGCAAGAGGTTAGCTTTAGAGCATCCAAAGTGTTTCCCACACGTAGGAACTACAGGGTTCTCGGCATAAAGATTATACCACAAACAACAGAGTTGGCAAAACACATTATGAATAAAAACTCGCTTTCTAACTCAACAGGAGGTAAGGTGCTGTGGAGATGCTGGCGAGGGCATGTTCCGGAAGGAGATCCACACCAACCCCTCTCCAGGCAAAACCATGGGGGTAGGGGCAGGTAGCAGGGGAAATATTAGACGCCCAGGTGAGGTTCTTGGGCTCCTGAGATGGAACTGGCACCTGCTTCCTGTCTGGGCTGCAGCCCTGTGGGGTTGGGGCCGGGCCGGGAGAGGGCTCTGGGCTACAGGTAGCACCGCAGAGTCCACCCCCACCTGAAACCGAAATGCTGACTGTGGGAGAAGGGACAGGGAGAAACCCTGACATCGCCTCATTTAAACCTAAATCGACGAAGAAATCACAGAATTTGATGGGGCTTCCTGGCCATGACTTAATGACGTTTTTGTAGAGGAAATGTTGTCTAGGAATGGAAATTAAATTGTTATAGAAAAAGAGAATACTATGTTTTTGCAACCTGTATCTGTAAATTGTCAGATGTTGGACCCACTACAAAAGGAACTAGATAAAGCAGGGGTGGGAAACTCTCATGCTGAAAGGCCACATTAATTTAGCTGTAATCAAATAAGGAACTTCAAGAAACTTCAAATAAATATACTTAAAAATGTACACTATTTTGTAAAACTCTATTATGTACTTAATAATTTCAAAAAATGAAAACTATTTATAAATTTTAAAGTTAACTAGCCTTTTCATGACTTTGTTGTGTCTGCTTTCTGTTGGAAAGCATTTGAATATTTGGTTGCAGCATGGAGGTCCACAGTTTCAGTTGATCCTCTAGATGGGTACCAGTCATTTGTGACCTTAAGGCATCTTTATTTGGCTTAGATAGGAGAATGTAGATTTGCAGCAATAAGTGGTTGAAAAGCAAGAAAGCATTTTTTAGGCATGTTGCCGAAGGTGTGGGTATTCTACTGCATTTTTCTGTATTTTAATTGGACCTTTCTTAGCATCAAACAATGACTTTAAAATGTCATCTACCGAGAGCTCAGTCAATTCCATCTGTAGTTCTTGGGTGCCTTGGTGACGTCAACCAGGTGAGGCTGAGATGCTGATTTGAGTGTGACGTCATGATTCTCACAGTCAGTGAACCTTTCATTGTGTTCTCCAATTAATGGGTCTGCAACAGCTGCGTGTTCAGATGATTCACATATGTCATCCTGCTCACCAGTGACCTTAGACAAAATTCAACACCCTTTCATGATAAGAACACTTAATAAAACAGGCATAGAAGGGACATACCTAAAAATGATACAAGCCATATATGACAGACCCACAGCCAACATCATACTGAATGGGGAAAAATTGAAAGTATTCCCACTTAGAACTGGAGCCAGGCAGGCTGCCCACTATCTCCACTTCTATTCAACACAGTGCTGGAAGTCCTGGCTACAGCAATCAGACAGGAAAGTGGAATTAAAGGTATCCAATTGGGGCAGAAGAGATCAAACTTTCACTGTTTGCTGCTGATGATATTATATTTAGAAAACCCTAAGGATTCAACCAAGAGACTCCTGGAACTGATCAATGAATTTAGTAAAGTCTCAGTATACAAAATCAATACACAGAAATCAGAGGCATTCATATACACCAACAACAATGAAATTGAGAACCAAATCAAAGAATCAATACCCTTCACAATAGCAACAAAGAAAATAAAGTACCTAAGAATATACTTAACCAAGGAGGTAAAAGACCTCTAGAGGGAGAACTATGAAACACTGAGGAAGAAAATAGCAGAGGATGTACATAGCTAGAAATCCATACCATGCTCGTGGGTTGGCAGACTCAACATTGTTAAAATGTCTATACTACCCAAACTGATCTACAGATTCAATGCAATACCTATTAAAATCCCATCATCATTCTTCACAGATATGGAAAAAATAATTTTACACTTCGTTGGGAACCAGAGAAGACCCCGCATATCAAAAGCAATTCTAGACAATAAAAACAAAATGGGAGGTATTAATATGCCAGATATCAAACTATACTACAAAGTTGTAGTAATTAAATCAATTTTTATTGTCACAAAAATAGGAGTATTGACCAGTGGAACAGATCTGAGAACCCTGATATAAAACCATCCTCATATAGCCATCTAATCTTTGACAAAGTACACAAAATATCCACTGGGGAAAAGAATCCCTATTCAATAAATGGTGCTAGGAAAACTGGATTTCACTTGTAGAAGGCTAAAGCAGGATCCACACCTTTCACCTCTCACAAAAATCAACTCATGCTGGGTAACAGACTTAAACCTAAGGTATGAAACTATCAGAATTCTAGAGGAAAATGTTGGAAACACTCTCTTCGACATTGGCCTAGGCAAATAATTTATGAAGAAGATCCCAAAGGCAATCACAGCAGCAACAAAAATAAATAAATGGGACCTGATCAACTAAAAAGCTTCTGCACAGCCAAAGAAACAGTCATGAAAGCAAACAGACAACCTATAGATTGGGAGTTTATTCTGATCCAAACTCTGAAATATTTGAAAGGAGTTTATTCTGAGCCAAATTCTGAGCTAAATTTGTGGTTAGGTTACAGTTTGGTTTTATACATTGCAGGGAGACAGGTGTTATGACAGGTAAAGTCATAAATCAATACGTGGGAGGTGTACATTGGTTTGGCCTGAAAAGGTGGGCCATCTCGAAGGGGGGGTCTGGGGGGGCTTACAGGTTATGTTGTGGCCCGATTACAGGATGGGGGATGACACAGAACACAAAATAATGACACAGACACACATGGACATGACAATGACTTGAGTGACCAATGCACCGGTCGCTTTATTTTTATACCCCCAGACCCAAGGTTAGTTCCTTGTATGTGAGCATCTGAGCATAGCAGCGATATCAGCCAATTCCGGAGTTGTTTCAAAAGGGAACAATTTCCCATGGTCAGACCTCAAAACGGTTACTAAAAGTTAAGGTGCCGGACAGAGCTCAAAAGCCGAGGCTGAGATAGGCAACACAAAACAATGCAGCCATGTGAAGTGCTTCTTGGTCTCAATCCCAGGCGGCGGCTCCTCCGTGGCCCCCACGGTTGTGCCAGTCTTAGGTTGCTGCCCCGCATGGGGAGTCTTACCCGTCATTGACTACCAACCATCAATCAGGGGCCAGGTCTTGGGAGAGTTCTTCTTGTTCTTGTTCTCATGGCCTCCAGACTCCCACCACAGGGGCCCTCCGTGTGGCAGTGGGGAGCATTTGCTTAAGTGCAACAACTCAGGCCTCTTATCAAGTCACAAGGCAGCGACTGTGTCTGACGAAAATGCCGACCACCGCTGCGTCAGGCAGCACACGAGCATGACAGACTCTAGTGAGTGATTAGTATAAGGCATATCACCAGAATCAGCCCCCAACAGGTTACATGTGGGTTTCAAGATTCTTTGGCCTATAATTGGCTAAAGACATGAAGCTTTGTCTAAGGCTTGGAATGTTTCAACATAAGGAGCTGTTATCAGAGATAAGCCACCTGACACAGATTTGTTGTGTAAACTGAGGACCTGCAGGCTTGTCTTGCATACCCTTGGGCCTGTTACTGGGTTATGAAGGATGTCTCCAAGAAGGGAGGGGGTTATGATGAGGCCTGTCTGACCTCCCTCCTCCTTCCTCCTGGTAGATAATTTAGTTTTAGAGTATTCCTTTGGCCACGAGGGGGTCCATTTAGTCAGCCGGTGTGGGGGTGAGCCTTAAAATTTTATTTTAGTTCACATCCATGACAGTTTCCTCTCATGCATGCATATATCATTTTTGAGACAAAGACTCAAGGGGAACCTTCTACAGATACCTAGTGTTCTTTCTCTCTCTCCTTCTTCTCGGGCATTCTATCTCATATATTCCAGCTGCCTCAGTTTCCTGGAATTCCATTCTGTGTCTCCTTGACTCATGGAGACTGCTGGAGGCCTCAGCTTGTGTTGTTTCCTATAATTTGGCCAGCTTTCTAGCTATTTACATTGGGAATTAAATTCAGCCTCTGGTACTCTATCATCACCAGAAACCCTTCCATAGTATTTTGAAGCAAATCCCAGACATCACATGATGTCATCCATAAACATTTCAGTATGTACCTCCAAAAGATAAGGAATCTTTTATTCTTTTAGCACAAACCCAGCCAATTATTAACTCTAAGAAAATCAAAAAGTTACAAAAAGAAGGAAAATTTGATTCAAATGCACTATATGGCTTAACTTTAAATAAAAATTTAAAAACACAATCTGAAGAGAAAGCAAGCATCAAAACCTGACTCGGACATGGCACAGATTTGAGAATTTCATTAAACAGAGGCTCTAAAATAACTATGATTAGTGTGCTAAGGCCTATAATGGAAAAAGTGGTCAATGTGCAAGCACAGATGGGTAATATAAGCAGAGAGATGGAAATTCCAAGACAGGATCCAAAGGAAATGTCAGAAATCAAAAACGCCATAAGAGAAATGAAGAATGCCTTTCAAGGGCTCAGCAGTAGCCTGGTCACAGATGAGGGAAGTATCAGTGAGCTTGAAGATATGTAAATAGCAACTTCCAGACTGAAATGTGAAGAGAAAAGAGAACAAAAAATAAAACA